AGTGTACAGCCTTGGTGCATGCCTAAAGGAGTAATAGCCTGTTCCTAACAAAAGAGGCTAGATTCCACAGTCCGCCTTTCACCCGAGGCATCATTTCCCCAAAGCGCACGGCTAGCTACAATCTCCTGCTGTACCTGTAACAATTTAATTGTATACGTCAGCCTAGTCAAGCATCCTCAGCTCATGACTGGGAGACATGAAATTCATTGTCATTATTGTCCCTGTCATTCTGGATCATTATATCCTGCTGCAGAATTTTCCTCACTTCAGTGCATTTGTACCTCCAGGAGCCAGGGATTATAGCTGAGGTTGGGGTGGGGGCAGGACCGTGAACTACATTTACCTCAGGGGAGCCAGAGATTAAATTGGCTTTGCTCTCTCACCAGCTGAATTCATCTATGTATGCTGTGAGTTTTAGAGTGGAATAAAAATGAATATTCTAGTGAATGATGGTCCTTAATTCCCCTTTTGAAACATGGATGTAACCAACTTTTATTCACACTAGGAAAGCCAATAAAATTTCTTCGGGTTGCTATTTTCATCTGAGCGTAAGGAATACTTACAAGCATTGTTGGGTATAAAGTAACAGACATCTTCTCTGCCTGTGTCTTGACTGGCAGAAAAGAAAAATTTAAAGCTATAATTTTGTTCTCCAATTTCATTTTACAGAGTTTAATGGGGTTATTTAATGGCTGTAAATATTTAATGATTTTTAATTATATCTTTTTTTTTTCTGTGGACAGGATCGGATGCCTGAAGTCCAACTAGAGTGGACCAGGATTCTACTCTGGGAAAAGGAATTTTTATTTTTAAGGCACTATCTTGGGTATAATGGCACATGCATTTAATCTCAGCAGAGGCAGGCAGATCTCTGTATGTTCTAGGCCTCATCTACATCGTAAGACTTGGTCTCAAAACACACACAGAAGGCAGGGTCATATCTAACCCAGGCTGGCCGAGAACTGAGCTAAGTGCGGTCTTGAACTCCTGATCCTGGTGCCTCCACCTCACATGCTCTAGGATCCCCAGGATGTGGCACCACTGTGAGGAACTAGAAAACTGGACTAAAGCTCGTACACAACAAAATAACTTCCTCAGATCCAGGCCATGCCCGGGCAGCAGTCAGATAACCTAGGAGAGTCCCAACCCACCTGAGCAGGGAAGCTTTCTGCACCTTCCTGCTTTCTTGGAGCATGGCTTGGTCATCGCTCTTTCTACCTGGTAACCCCAGTGCAAACAGAGTGGCCAGACCTAACTAGTGAATCTCTAGTTAAGGACTGGGAGATCAAAGGAGACATGAGGTAATGGTTCAGAGAGAAAGCTGGTGGACAAATTACAAGTTTTCAATGGAGAATGTAAGAAATTGTAACTGGAGGGAAAATCAGGCATGCAACTTGGACCCTTTCATTTCATATGGATTTCACTGAGAAATTTGACAATGACTTTGTCTATATTTAAGATGATGGTAGTTATTCCTCCATATTCTCAGTTACCCGTGAAATACCACAGTGGGTTGTACTGATAGTGTACACAAAACCACCCATGAAGTTACATCAGGAAGTATGCAGCATACTGACAAACCAAGATGGGGAGAGGGTGGTGGAAGTAGGGAGAAGATTTCAGGGCCACAGTGAACTACATTGTAAGAACTCTGTTATCTCTGAAAACAAAAACAAACGAAATGCAAGAAAAAATGTATTCTACTACATGTAGGAACTTTTTAAGGAAAGTTTATTTTGCCTTAACCATATAAAGTAGCTATCAGAATTTACTTAGGAATTTAACTATGGCTCTAAGTAATTCAAAATCTTTTGAGCCAGGTATAGTGGTGCACACCTTTGATTCCAGCATTCAGGAGACAGAGGCAGAGGGATCTCTGCGAGATCAAGGCTACATAGTGAATTCCAGACGAGCCAGAGTTGCAGAATGAGACTCTGTCTCAAAATAAAATAAAATAAAGATACAACCTTCTTGATAGCTGTACAATTTATTCTTCTAAATGAACACCTTGTTTATTTAAAACTTAAAGCTCTAGCAGTTCAGTGGTGAAGAGACCTTAAGAGTTGCCTCAACCTCAACTCCTAGACCAAGTTCATGGCAGTTGCTAATTGCTCTGTGCCACTATGTTCCTAAAGTGCCATATTCATACTGGTGATGGCATAACTCTGTGATGTATTACTAATAAGAGTTTGTAGTTAATAAAACCTCTGATCATTCAAAATTTCATTTTATTAACATAACATGACCTTTTCATTAGAATCAAGTCTCTTTATGTAGAAATTACAAAAACTATTTTTCTTTACTTTAAAATAGGTGACTGCATATGACTTTAAGGTTTTTGTTGTTTGTTTGTTTGTTTGTTTGTTTTTTTAAGTTATTTCAAGCCTGAATTCACTTTGAAATGACGTGGGTTGTTTTACAGTCTTGTAATGGTTCTTTTTTTCTTTTCTTTGCATGTGTGTGTGGCATGACATCAGAAACTTCCTAGGTTGCCTTCACCTTATTCGCTTGAGTCAGGAGCTTGCTAAGTTTTTGTTTATTTGTTCTTCTTATTTGGAGTTGGGGGGGGGGAGTGTTAGGCTGGCCAGCCAGGCAAGCCCTAGAAACCGTTTCTGACCAAGCCCACTCCTACCTCCCAGCCCTAGGATTCCAGGGACCCAGGACTACACTTAGCTGTTTCCTTGAATGCTAAAGTTCTCAGGTTCTCTTAGCCAATAAGCTATGTTATAACTCCACATAACTAGTCTCTTACGATTAAGAGATTATTTCATCTCAGTAGTAAAACTTTTGTCTTATAAAGTATACACACAGATTTGACAAGTTTCAAAAAGATTGCTCTCTCTCCAAAATACTCTGAGTCAAAGATCAAGGCTTTCTTTCCTGCTTCTGAGAACATTATTTGCTGCATTTAATTCCTTTGCATTGGTGTTTCTTCCCTCATTTTCATGGGGACACTTAGTCCGCTCATAACACCATACTGGCTAAAACAAGAACTGTCAATATCTGTGAGTGCACTGTGAGAACAAACAACTCTACTCTTTCATATTTTTGTTTTGCCTCACCTTAAATATTACATGTTGAAGCCAAATAGTTTCAAAGTAAAAAAGCAAATATTTTATTTCAAATGGCCAGAGTAATGACTTTTTATTTCTTCAGTTCAAACCTTAATATTGTACTATTTACAAACATCACTTTTAAATTATTTTAAATCGTTTCCAATAATTTTTCCCAACTTCTATTTATGCAGCCTCTAACCAACTATAAAGGTCAGTTTGTCCTGAATTAAAGGAACTTTTCCTCTTAATTCTAGTAGGATAATGTTTCCTCTGCTTTAGAAAACACGGGCTTTCCTTGGATTCTCCACAGTATGAATCTGTAATTCATGCTAATACCAAACTAAGACAGTCATGAGCCCAGACATGACACTAATGTGCATCTATGGGTGATTCCAGCATACACAGCCTAACACAGAAGACTTGGTACATAACTCATGCCGTGCTAGGAACAAAGAATTTGGAAGAATTTGTGTGGAAGGGAAAAGTAAGAGAAGGCCAAGGCCACAAACATTTCCACGTTAGTATAGACAGGGTGCTCTTTGCAGAGTGCCTACTCCCCCTGGACCAGAAACCTCTTTACTGTAATCACCCAATAAACTACAATGGATTAACATTAAGGGTCTGATGCAGAGAAAGCAGATTCACGGGGAAGGTTGTCCTTTAACATAGAGGCTCCTTCAAGGGCACCAAAAAGTAGTTAAGTGTCCCCCCCTGTGGTGTCTCAGACGCTGAAAGGCCCTGCAAACTGTTAATTTTCTAGCTTTTAATGTCCGTCTAAGACCCTTAACATTTTTCTAATATTGTTGCTCCTAGGACATTTTCTTAAGTTTGGTCCATATTGCCCTCTCTGCACACATACATTCTGCATTTATATATAAAAGCCTGTCAGACAGCTGAATGGATTCAGAAAGGTAACACTGGAACAAAGCAAAAGGAAAAAAAAAAAAGAGAGAGAAGAAGAAAAGGAAAGATGGCCTTCAAAGCAGATATCTCACATAAAATAATATGGAATATATTCATCAAATATTCTAAAACAGCACAACGAAAATCTTAGTGCTAAGAATTTATGTGTCTGATTCCAAGTATGAAGACCACATAATGAGAGGAGCCTAATATATCTTTACATCATAAAGTTTCTAAACCTTTTGAACATATACCGTCACCTGTGTCCACCTTGTTTCTTATAAGTGAATATCCCTATGTTGTTTTCTAGTCCAGCACATGCTCTAAAATGACCAGTGAAGATTCACAAATGGTTTTGCTTCTACTGCTTTATTTTGTTGCTGTTTCACTGTGGTCTATCTGGAAATATATTGTTTACTTTCCTCAAACAAAAATGTGCAAGTTATATTGTGTACACCCCCCCACACACACACACAAGCAAATTCACACTGAATACATAACAAATATGCATTAGGTAAAGTCGGTCAGAAAACATCTTCCAGCAAGCAAATAGAGAAGACATGAAACTTTGGTTTACCAGATGCCTTGTTCATCTACCCTCAACACATAAATTATACGCCCAAGAATGATGTGTCCTAAACAAAACAAAAAAGTGTCAACTCAGCCCAAGGGGCATTTTTCCCTAGGCTTATAACCCCTTGAAAATAGAGGTTTCATCTAGAAAAGCTAACAGACCCTCAGCTGCTTGCAACATCATAATATATTCATAAGGCAAGGATGCACTTCTGCCAAACATATAACAAATTGAATGGCGTGGGGTGGGATGAAACTCATAGCCATGAGAAGTGAGCCAAACCAACCATGAGCCACAAGTAGAA